AAGGGAGTTACGGACAAGATCGGGTCTGTACTAAAGAAATATTCCATTCCGACAGTATACACACCAGGCATAAAGGTTCACAACATCGTCGGCACACCGAAGGATACATTGCCACTACAAACTCCGGGTGTTTATAAAATAGACTGCAGCTGCGGAAGCTCATACATAGGCCAAACTAAGCGGACTATTGCAGAAAGGGTCAAAGAGCATATCGCTGCTGTGAAGAACCGACAGACGAGCAAATCAGCGATTGCAGAACATGCACTCGATGCAGGCATCAACCACTGGATTGAATTTCACCGCACGCAAGTCCTCTCCACCGAACGTCACTTTTACTCAAGAGTTGTACGTGAAGCGATTGAGATTAAAAAGCATAAAACTTTCAATCGGGAAGATGGTTTTAAATTATCTACAGCGTGGAATCCAGTGTTAAAAAACATACCACCTCGCTTTTCTGCGCAATCGGTTAAACACCAGAATAGGGACTCATCGGTTTGCTTACAGAATAGGGACACTGTTAGTGTGGTATGTGACGGTACATGGCGACACAAAAACAATATCGAAAATGTGCGGGTAGATGAAGAGCCTTCTACTTCACGGATTCGACGACGGAGGGCGTGCGCCGATGAGCCAGTCAGCCTGTGACCACGGCCGGTGCAACCTGGTCGAAACGTCAGGCAAACCAGAGGTATGTAATACCCTAAATAAGAGATCGCGTTAATTCCCGTTAAATAATATTAATTACGACCATGTTTCTTCCTCTCGTCGTGAATTGAACTGGCTCACGATTCGTCAGCGCCGTCAGCTGCTCGCCCTCACCACCCTCTATTCCATACTCAACTCACCTATTTCCCCTTCCTACCTAACATCCTCATTTCATTTTCTATGTGCCAATCACAACAGAACTCTCCGTTCATTAAACAATCCACTTCTGTTATGCCCCACTCATACTTCCGCATGTGTCCACTCTTCGTTCTTAATCCAATCTGTCCTCCTCTGGAACGCTCTGCCTTTGGAAATCAGGATAGCACCCAGTCGCCTCTCATTTAAGACGAAAGTCCGAGCTCGAATTCTCGACACTTTAGCAGACTCATCACATCCCTAAAGTCTTATATGTTATATGTATATATACGTATGTACTATATGTATGTATGTAACTCAGCAAGTATAAATATGTATGTGTATCTCAGTATGTATGTAACCTAATTTTAATTTCATGCACCTACTCAGACATTTCCCCATCACCCAAAGGTAGACTGGGAGAAAATGCCTTTGGCATTAAGTCCGCCATTGTACAATGATTTGTTATTTGTGCAAAAAAGAATTAAATAAATAAATAAATATTGAGAAGTCGAAGACTGTAAACAATATGTGCCGACTACGGATAATTTACTCACAATTATTACACAAAATATTCACAGTATACGCAAAAACATGAATGGTTTTTGAGGTATTGTTACATACTCTTGATATAAACTGTGATATTATCATCTTGACAGTGTTGGTTGTGTAATCAGCATCCGCATTTACCATCTCTTAAGGGTTACCTACTGCATAAGAATGATATAATATTGAACCAAAACGATGGATTAGTAATATATTGCACAGCATTCTTAAACAGCATACTGAACTTCCCTATAACCCCATACCATCAAATAAGAGAAGGAAGGACATAGTGTGTAGCAGGCCTCAAGCTAGTCATACATTTGTTCATAGATTTTATTTATTTTTAGGACCTTTTTTATCCAATAAAATTAATAGAATACTAAATATATACAGCCTCAATAATAAAAAATGTGTGATCATGTTATCAGAATATTTAGGTAAATTTAACTATGCAGACACAGAAAATGTATTGGCAATTGTTAAATGATTCTTGAATAGTTTTTGTAAAATATTATTTTCTAATTTTTGCTTTAGTACGTGTACACTTTGTAGTATTTTTTATATTTTTCTAGTGATCTGTTATGTTTATCTTACATTTCTACCTTAAAAATTCCATGTCAAGCGATCGCCTGAAACACAGGTTTAGGTTTTTAACAAAATCGCAATATCTTTATGTGTAGAAAATCATAAATAACACTACTATAGATTTACGTTAGTGTAACTTAGTCTAATTATTGTCTAAGATCTATGTTAAACTGAAATGTCCTACACTGTAATATTTATATTGGTCAAATAAAATTATTATTATTATTATTATTAAAAAAATATTATTATTATTCAAATTCAACATCACCGTTGTTTCATTTTCTTCATTTCTCACTTCTTTTAATTAACATGACATCTCTCTTTGTATAAACACAATTTTTCTCTGAAAAATATATTCTATAACCTTTGCTATTTTCCCCATATCCGACCATCAATCCTTTTTCACGTTTCTTATCCCATTTTCTTTTTTCTCCTTTGGAATATGTACATATACTGGGGAACCAAAACCCTGCAGTTGATGTATGTCATGGGTTTTATTTGTCCATATTTCATAAGGTAATTTCCCTTCTTTTCCTTTACCTGTTCTGTTCGAAACAAATGCGGCAGTATTCACTGCTTCTGCCCACAATTGCTTAGGTAGGTTCTTAGAATGTAGCATTGTCCTTGCCGACTCAACGAGAATTCTATTTTCCCTTTCAGCTTTGCAATTTTGTTCAGGCGTATAGGTTACCGTAGTTTCATGAATTATCCCTCTTTACAAACATATTTCCATTACTTCTTTGTTTACGAATTCCAATCCATTGTCCGTTCGTAGTGTCTTGACCCTGTTTCCAGTAATATTCTCTGCCAGTAAGTTCTCTAAACAATGCTGAATTTCGTCTTTAGCTTTGACAAAGTAAACAGTTCGGAAGTTCGAATAGTCATCCTTTAAAAAAACAAAATATCTCGACTCGCCGACCGATTCTTCCTCCAAGGGCCCACAAGTGTACCCATGTATTATTTCACATGTCCTGGTGCTTACGTTTTCACTTTTTTTAAATGGTAACCGGTGGATCTTTCCAACAACTCTCACATTGCGGTACACTAGTTTGTTTTATCTCAATGTTATTTTTCGCCAATGCTTTCTGTACGTGATCGAAGTTTTGATGAGTCACCACTCGTATAAATCGTTCTTTGACAATTTTGCAACACTTGCCACCTCGCATTTAAAGCGGAAATCCAAATAATAAGAGTTCTCAATTCTATTTGCCATAGCACAAACAACTCTTTTTTTTTGTAAAATTTGCACGAAGTGTCATCTGCCACCATGACATAACACCGGTCAGAAGCGCGGTTCATAGAGAATAAATTACTTTTCAGATTGGGAACGAACAACACATTGTTTATTGTCATATCAATCCATTTACTTCCGTTCTAGACTTGTACCGCCATCTGTCCATAGCTCTGCACACTAATTTCAGCGCCGTCACCAATAATTACCGACCTTTGCGAAACACTTGACGAAAGCAATGAACGATCTCGACACATGTGTTCGCTTGCCCCCGAGTCCACTAGCCACTTTGTTTCTTCATATTGTTCATAAATTGAGTTCGAAACCACAAACGCATGATTTTTTAAAACGACACTGCGCCTTAAAATGTCCAATTTTACCACAGTAATGGCACTTATTATCGTTCATCTTTTTCCCACTGAACATTTTCAAACAGAGTGTAGAAGTAATAGGTTTACCACACTTAAAACACTTTATGTTTCTCTTAGCTACAAACGCCGATGAGGATGAAATTTCCTCTACTTCCTTTAGCTTTTCTTTCACTCTCTCTTTTTCTATTAATAATCTAGATACCAGATAGTCGAATGTTTGTTTATCATCAGGTGCAGACACAAACTGTTTGTACTCATCCGGCAAACACATTAATACTTTAGTTATCGTGAACTTTTCTGAAACTTCCTCGCCCATTGACTTTAATTGGTTTTGCATTTCCTGAATTTTTGACAAGAACACCGACATTTTGATTCCATTCTCATATTTATATTGGACAAAGCGCTGTTGTAGGATATGGATACTGGTTTCTGACTTTTGTTTGTAAACACTTAAAAGTTTTTTCTACATTCAGCAGACGTTTTACATGATATGAGATGTAACATAACATCTTCACTCATTCTTGTGACCAGTAATGTCTGAGCCTTAGCATCTGTAGCCTCCCAGGTGACTCGTGCATACGTTACGTTGTACGTTACATTAAGATGTTCCTCGTTAATTTTGAGTGTATATAGTCTTATTATAACTATACAGAGATGATATCGTGATTAAAATATTTTATTTTATAAGGATGCTATCTGTTTTTCAATAGATTGAATTGTTGTTATAGCGTTTTCAAATTTTAAACCATCGTCTTCATCTAATGAACCAAAAATTGATTTAAGTATGTTTCCTACGGCGCCGATCCAGGTTTAAAGCGATGAGAGAGTAAGTAAGAAAGGTGGTGGTGGTACAATGGTGTTGAAAAAGTGTCCTAAATGTACTAAAAATATTACTAAAATTAAGCCAGGATTAGAGTGCAGGAGGTGCAATAAAGCTGTACATGCAGATGCTATATGTGTAGGAGGTTAAGAACCAAAGACACATTGATACTTCTGAATATTATTTATTTATTTAATATAAGTCACAAGGAAGGTAAGTGCGTCTTGCCTAGCACATGATCACAGGTCAAGTGAAGTGGGCGAGTGTATGCTGAACGATTATACTATCGGATTGACAACACAACATATCGATTATAACTATTCGATTAATATCTATTTATAATGTATTTATTTTTGCATTATATTTAAATATTCAACACGCCCCCTCAAAAATTAATGTATCGATTCTGTTTACAATTAATTACATAGTTATCTACATTGATCACACATAACTTCCAAGTGATTGGCTGGGAAAAATAATGAATTAATGGTTCAACATTTGTTGCAAAGGATTAGGGAAACCCAGCGAAAACCTAATCAAACCATGTTACATTACAATTAATTTTACATGAAACACATTGAAATTAAATATTAAATACATGACACACTTATTCTAAGCCCATTTTGGCTCTATGTGTTTTAAATGCTATTGAAGGTAGCGGTTTTGTGAGCACATCGGCTAACTGTTTACCTGTGGGAATATAATTTAATTTTATAACATTTTTCTCAACCTGTTCTCGGGTAAAATGATATTTTATATCAATATGCTTCGACCGCTTATGATTAGTTAGCTTATTCGCTATACTAATGCAGCCGTTATTATCCTCAAAAATAACTATCGGATCTTTTATATTCATGTGAATACTTATAGCTAGAGACTTAAGCCATAATGCTTCTTTAACCGCCTCAAACAAGGCCATATATTCAGCTTCAGTGGATGAAGCTGCTACTGATGTTTGTCTCTTTGTATTCCATGTAATTGTACAATTTTCAAATAATTTAAATAAATAACCTGTAGTACTCTTTCTATCTGTCATATCATTTCCTCCCCAATCTGAGTCTACATAGCCACTAAGTATATGATTATAGTTACACTTTTTATATACTAATTTTAGATCAATTGAACCTTTTAAATATCTAAGCACCCTTTTCAGGCATTGCCATAATTCTTTATTATTTTTATTAGTATATCGACTCAATATATTAACAGCAGTGCTCAAGTCCGGTCTCGTACATAACATTACATACATTAAACAACCAATGAGATTACGACATGGTGCATTATAATTATAATCTAAATTTAACGCTTAATTTTAACGTGTTATTTTATCATTATACCTCGTAATTCTAATACCTAAAAATAATTTAATATCCCCTAAGTCAGTCATAGAAAATTTACTTTTTAAATACTGTTTTATATCTGTCATAATATGGATATCAGCACATGCTATAACCAAATCGTCGACATATAGCACTATATAAATATTTTTACATATACTCCCATTATTTAAAACATATATACATCTATCAACTGATGAATTTTCGAAGCCCTCTTCTTTAAGTGATTGTTCAAATAGTTCGAACCAACATCTAGCTGCCTGTTTCAGGCCATACAATGCTCTATTTAATTTACAAACATAATTATTTTTACTATATACACCCTCGGGAACATTCATATATATCTCTTCTTTTAATAGGCCATTTAAAAACGCAGTTTTGACGTCCATATGATGTACAAGTAAGTTATACTGATTAGCAAAACCAATAAGGAATCTGAAACTAGATATCCTAGCAACAGGAGCAAAAGTTTCATTATAATCAATAAGATATTTTTGACTGAAACCCCTTGCTACAAGACGGGCTTTGTATTTAAGAGGTTCTCCAAATTCATTATGTTTTATGGAGAAAACCCATTTGCAATCTATAATGTTTTTATTAATAGGCCTAGGGACTAATGTCCACGTATTGTTAATTAAGAGAGAATTAAGTTCATCTTTAATAGCCTGCTCCCACTGAGATTTATCTTCTCGAGTTTTAATTTCATTATAACAATTAGGAACTTGACATATAATAGATTGTGCATATACTAAGCAATCGTCATCTATTTCTTTATACGATACAGGGGGACGAACTTTAAGCCTATTACTTCTTCTGTGTGTTCATTGTTTACTATTGGGGGAATATGTTTACATTCAGTTTCACGATCTGACTGAGCAGGCTCACTCATCTGAATTTCTGTGGGATTATTGAGACTTTGATCAGATTTTAAACTATCTGATTTAGAGCTGTCAAAATGTTGACCCTCTTCTGACACTGATTTTGAACCTAGTTCAGTAATATCAGTTTTGTCAGTGGAAGTTTTAGGATCACTCCCTTCAAGCCTTAATTTAGGCCTGGATATCATAAAATTCGTCTCATCCATTACAACATCCCTTACAGTAACATATTTATTGCTTTCAGTATTCCAAACTTTATAACCGTTTGGTTCATATCCCACCAATATACCTTTCCACGATTTATCATCAAATTTATTCTTATTTGTTTTATTATGAACATAGACAGTAGATCCAAAAACTCTCAGGCATTTAATTTGTGGTTTCCTATTATGCCACATTTCAAATGGTGTTCGAGACTGTTTCAAAGCTTTAGTAGGTGTTAAATTTATTAAATAAACAGCTGTCAATACAGCTTCACCCCAGAAAACTTTTTCTAATTTAGCACCGCTCAACATAGCGCGAGCTTTTTCAGTTACAGTTCTAATCATACGCTCTGAAACACCATTTAACTGTGGAGTTCTAGGAACAGTTAAATGATAAGTTATTCCTTTTTGCACACAGTAATCTTTCATGTCGGTAGATAAATATTCTCCACCGTTATCGCAATACAGATTAACTAACCTATAGTTAAAATTAGCTTCACTTTTTGCGATATAATCTTTAAAAACTGAGAATACATCTGACTTATATGATATCAGGTATACGGTACAGTAATGAGTATATTGATCAACAAATATCACAAAATAATTTTTATTATCTACGGTCGAAGGAGTGATAGGTCCACATACGTCGGAATGCACAATATATAATGGTCGTTTCACATAACTTTTATCTTTAATATTATTAAAAGGTAGACGCGATTGGTTTCCCATTTATGCATGCCTCACATAACATATCAATTGGAAATATTGTTTCAATTTCATTTATATTATCAATCATGTTGTTACTTTTTAATTCTAAGAATTTATTTTTACTAATATGTCCTAAGCGTTGATGCCATAGCTCATAATTATTACTAGTGCATACTTGGGAAACGAAACCGTCAATAGTCACATACACAAGAAAATCTATAGCAATTAAATTGTTTAAAAACTTACCATTAATTAATGTCTTACCATCCTTGAATATATGAGCTCCATCTTGATCGAAAATAATTGTCAATCCAGCTCTTTGTATCTTGGAAACGGACAGTAAGTTATATGGAACCTCAGGGCAGAATAATACATCCTCCAAAACTCCATCAATACCCATGTCACTGGTAACTTTTATTGTTCCTCTTTTTGTAGCTGTAATAAATTCGCCAACTTTAGCAACTGAAATTTTAATTGGAATTAGTAAGATAGTGTAGTTAATAAAAAAATCATCCCTGTTTATAATGTGGTCTGACACTCTAGAGTCCAACAGGAATGTGATTCGGTCATTATGAATACTCTTCTCATTTTTACCGGCCATAAAAGCAAATCTAGGCTGTTCATCAGCAGTAGTTGGTTCGGTCATAACTACCGACTGAACAGTCCTGCTTCTGTCGGAAACTTTACTCTTATTCACTCTCTTGAAATAAAAACAATCATTTTTAACGTGTCCTTTACGTCCACAATGATGGCATTTTAGAAAGTGTATCTTCCTCTTTGCCTTATGATTATAATTTTTATGCGGGTAGTTATTTGTTATATATGTATTTTCGTTCCTTTTTCTTTTAAATATCTCGTTTTTATTTTTTATCTGTAAAACTTTCATACTCGTATCACGACTTTCTGTTTTTAGTTTAACTTCATGATCCAAGAGTCTTGTTTTTACGAACACTGGGTGTGTTAAATTATCTTCCGACAATGTTTCAATCGCAGTTATGACACCGTCATATGTCGCCGGAAGTGTAAGTAATAAATGAGACACTTTATCAGTTTCTTCTAACTTGGCTCCGGCAGCCAATAATTCCATAATCAAATCTTCAAAAATAGTAAAATGTTTTATTAGTGGTGTATCACCATGTAATTTCAGAGACAATAACTGTTTTCTCAAAGCCAACTGTGTCGCAAGACTTTTTCGTTCGTAAAAGGCATCTAAATTTTTAAAAATATATTTAGCCGTTATTTCTTCCTTAGCAAAACCAAGATAAGAATCTTCTAAATACTCAACGATAGTACTTTTAGCAATACAATTCTTTGTGATCCACTCTTGACTCCGCGTTGCGGGTACTTCCTCATCAATTACACTTATAACATCTATTTCGCTCAAAAGCGCGCGTATTCTAAATTTCCAGACACTATACTTCTCGCCATTAAACGGTTTTATATTACGCTTTAGCTTTGAGTTTTCCATTATAAACAATTTCAAAAAAAGAATACTTAGCCTTTTTTTTCACGATGTGGGTAGAACACTTGACTAGTTTAAATTACGAACACCTTTAATAATTTTTAGCAAAATATACTGGGCCCACAACCTGTAGGAGGTTAAGAACCAAAGACACATTGATACTTCTGAATATTATTTATTTATTTAATATAAGTCACAAGGAAGGTAAGTGCGTCTTGCCTAGCACATGATCACAGGTCAAGTGAAGTGGGCGAGTGTATGCTGAACGATTATACTATCGGATTGACAACACAACATATCGATTATAACTATTCGATTAATATCTATTTATAATGTATTTATTTTTGCATTATATTTAAATATTCAACAATATGCGCTAAGCTCTCCAACAAGCAACTCAACACTCTACGACACTCCCGGGGTATAATGGAGCTGTGAGGAATGCCTAAAAAACATATCTCGTAGGTCATCATTCATGATCCCAGATAAAGACGACGATGACTCCGAGAGAGGGTCTCCCACAACCTTCCAAACCTTGGATACTCGTAAACTTGTGCAAGATATTAGCCGAGAACTAAAAAAACCTTCAGGGAAGAAATAAGCAATCTGGAAAGCTCACTAGAATTCTTAAGTGACCAGATTAGCACAATGGAGAAGTCTCTAAAAAACCATGAAACCACTATTAAGACCCTACAGTACAAAAACGAAGATTTACAAAATAAAAATAAAAATTTAGAATTGAGGGTAGCTATTTTGAAGAACGGACAAAAAGCTGTAGAACAAAAGTCTCTATTATTTTCCTTGCGGATAGCCAGCTTACCCCTGATAGCTCCGAAAGACCTTAGGAAAGTCGTAACAACGGTAGCTTTGGAGCTAAATGTGGACCAATCAGATATACAGTCTATGTAACGACTACCTGGAACAAAGACTGGTACTATCCTAATTGAAATAAAGAATACTCTAGCCCGTAAGCAGTAGATCGATGCCAGTAGGGAAAAACAAATCATAGCGGGAGTCTTGCTGCCCGACATCCCCAGGGAAGTTGCAAAAAACCGTATTTATGTCAGGGAAGCCCTCACTAAGTATAATAAAACCCTTTTATATAATGCAAAACTCAATTAAATAAGTTGTATGGGTATATTTGGTGTAGGGATGGCAAAGTGTGTGTTAGAAGGGAAAGTAACAGCAAAATATACTACGAGGCATGCCTTTTAAGTTTTATCGTATGAAGAAAAAAACACAACTAGAACCTTATAGTACTTTTTATTGTTTTTTAAAGTATTTACCACGTAGCTTAATACACTTTTCATTTCGCTCAAACCAGTCATCATAACATTTATTCCACTCTAAACTGGGGATGTTCAAAATGGCTGACTTGAAAGCGTCGACTGCTTTTTCACCGGACTGGAACCTTTGACCACGAAGACTTTTCTTAATTTTAGGAAATGTAAAGAAATCTTTAGGGCTTAGGTCAGGACTGTATGGAGGATTCCAATGCGTGGGGTTCCCCTGCGACGGACGCCAGGGGCGAAGCCGTCGAGGAGTGGGCGGCGTCGGTGGGCCTCTGTTTGCTGAACAGGGGCTCCACCAACACGTGCGTGCGACAGCAGGGGGGGTCGATAGTGGACCTTTCGTTCGCTACCCCTGCAGTCGCCGCACGAGTAAGGAACTGGCGTGTCCTGGAAGAGGTCGAGACGCTCTCGGATCATTTGTACATCCGATTCGAGCTCTCCCGGTCCCAGGACCCCAGTAGGGATCACGCGGCGCGGCGCCCTTCCCGCTTCCCGCGGTGGGCTGTCGCCAAGCTCGACAGGGACCTACTAGAGGAGGCGGCCATTATTCACTCTTGGCTGTCTCCGTAGGCCCCGACCGAGGAGGTCGACATGGGGGCTGGTCGCTTCTGCGATGCGGTTACGCAGATTTGAGATGCGGCCATGCCCCGCGTTCGTGGTTGTCGGCCTCCAAGGAAGGAGGTCTACTGGTGGTCCCAGGAGTTGGCGGACCTCCGTGCGGCCTGTGTACGTACCCGGAGGTCCCTCACCCGTAGTCGGCGACGTCACCGCGGGGTCGGAGAGGAGGTGGACCGGCTTCATGAGGAGTACCGAGAAGCTCGGAAAACTCTGAGGCTGGCCATCTGCCGCGCCAAAGATGCATGTAGAGAGGAGATGCTGGAGAGTCTCGAGCGTGACCCCTGGGGTCGCCCTTATCGTGCGGTGCGTCAAAAGCTCTGCACGTCGGGCCCCCCCCTTACGGAGACTCTCCAGCCCAGCTTCCTGCAGGAAGTGGTCGAGGGCCTATTCCCGCAGCGGGCGGAGCACACACCCCCGTCGATGGCTGAATCAGCCGGAGACGACGGGGGCAGCGAGGCTGATTTTCCGCCCGTCAGGGAATCGGAGTTAGGGGCGGCTGTTCTACGGATTCCATTCAAGAACACTGCCCCCGGGCCGGACGGGGTTCCAGCCCGAGTGATGGCCCGAGCCCTCGACTACATGTCGGACCACCTCAGGGGGGTGTTGGACGCTAGCCTGGCGTCCGGACGCTTCCCTGACCGTTGGAAATGAGGGAAGCTGGTCCTGCTGCAGAAGCCGGGACGGCCTGCCGATTCGGTCGCGGCCTATAGGCCTATCGTGTTGCTGGACGAGGCGGGTAAACTTTTTGAGAGGGTACTCTCTGCCCGCATCGTCCGGCACCTCTGCGAGGTTGGCCCCGATCTGTCGGACGCCCAATTCGGTTTCCGGGAAGGGCGTTCGACGATCGATGCCGTGATGCGCCTTAGGGCCGTGACCGAGGAGGCCGTGAGCTGCGGCGGAGTGGTGTTGGCGGTGTCCTTGGACATCGCCAACGCCTTCAATAGTCTGCCATTCAGCGTCATCAAGCGCTCCGCTACCACGGAGTGCCGGAGTACCTGAGGCGGCTGGTGGCAGACTATCTTGAGGAGCGAACCGTCATGTACGAGGACCGAGATGGCGTCTTGAGACGCAGGGCCATGTCGTGCGGTGTTCCGCAGGGGTCTGTCCTAGGCCTGTGGAACATTGGATACTACTGGGCCATACGAGGGCGTCTCCCCCCGGGGCTGGGTGTACTCTGCTACGCAGATGACACTTTAGTCACGGCCCGGGGGGCTAACTTCCAGGAGGCGGCGCGCCTGGCCGCCACGGGAGTTTCCCTGGTGGTCGGGCGCATTGAGGCGTTGGGTTTGCGGGTGGCCCTAGATAAGACGGAGGCGGAGGCTTTCCGGGCACGGTTGCTTCGGAAAGTACCTGTACTCGGTTGCTAAGAGGGAATCGAGTTCCGCCTGCCACCACTGCGACTGCAGTGAGGATTCGGCCCAGCATACGCTGGCGGTCTGCCCCGCATGGGCGACGAAGCGCCGGTCCCTCACTGCAGTCATCGGAGCGGATCTCTCGCTACCGGCCGTAGTTCGCTCCATGGCCGGTAGCGACAGTTGTTTTACCGCGGTCGCAACCTTCTGCGAGGAAGTAATCTCGCAGAAGGAGGCGACGAAGAAGGCCCGGAAGGACGACCTCCACTCGGACCCGATCCGCCGCCGGCGAACCGGGCGGCGGAGGCGCGCTCATCTGCGCCTCATGCCGCCCTGAGTGTGGCCGCGGGTGGACGGGATGGATTCTCCCCTCCACCCGCATTAGATTGACCAGCCGCAAGGGAGCGGCGTCCGCGTGTGCCGGACGTCGCCTAAAGAGAGGAAACATTTTGAGACGGAGCCCGCAACAGGAGCGGTCCGGCGCTGGGAGGGGTCCAGAAGGCGATAACTACCTGGACCCCTCCTAAACTGGAAGCGCAAAGAGGTCACACCGTGTGGTTTAGTCGGTTCGAGTCCGACACACCGCCCCGCCGAACGAGAGCCCCGGCGGGGTGACGGTCCGAGGGGATTTCCACACGTAAAAAAAAAAAAAAAAAAAGGACTGTACATCTTCTTGCGCTTCATGCAAGATCTTCTTAATGGTTGTCCCTGAGATGCCTAATAGAGCCTATATCTCTCGATACGTCACACGACGATCTTTGAGAATTAGTTGTCTCACAGCAATGATGTTATCTTCAGTGAAAGCGGATTTTAGGGGTCCTTCGCGAGAGTTGTCACTAACACTAGTATGTCCACGCTGAAATTCTAAATACCTTCCGTGAAGGTAGATAACACGTACAGCGACCATATTACGGTTATAGAAGGCATGGCGCAAGGATCTGTATTGGGGCCTCTTCACTTTTTGACATACGTAAACGACCTAGCCAAGTGTGTTAAATGGAGTTCTTGTTATCAATTTGCCGACAACACCTATCTCGTTGCAACACACCATAACGCGCAAAAGGCCGCAGAACTCTTACAGTCCGCATTCGATACAGTTTTAAAGTAGTGCCATGATGCAGGTCTGGTTTTAAATGCTGATAAAACCAAACTACTGCATAAAAAATCTCCATACCTAGATAAATCTCAATTTAAAAACATACGTGCACACAACCACAACTGTCATCCAACGATCCATGTAACTGCACCGCTATATAAACCGTAACGACACATTCCTTTTTTTTATTTTTTTATTTATTCATCATATAAAACCAAAAACACAGGAAGTATTAAAACATAACACGATAAACCACAAAGGTTTGTGGAGTGTTACACTGACAGTCAGTATCGCATAATTACAATTATTTTTACATTTATCGTAGTACGAGCAGACTACATCTCGCCAAGCCATCCATTAGCGTATTACAACACTATGAGAACTAGATAAATGCATCTCTTAAATGTGAGTACTTTACCTTATCTTAAGGTGATTAAAAATGATTAGTACAGTTGTTTGTGAAAAATTCTTTAAGTTTTAATTTAATGTTACCCTCTGTAATTTTATTAACTAAATCCGAGGGTAGCTTGTTTATGAGTCGAGGAATTATGTAGGCAGTAGTTCTTTCGCCGTACGTGTTGTTTGCGCGCAGTATCTAGTATACACAGGATGCTCTTTGACTTTTGCTGTTGCTATTGAAAAAGTTTT